CAAATATGTGGCCAGATTTTAATATTAAAGGTCAACTAGATTATACAATTTTAAGAGGTATTATAGAGTTAGATTTAATAATTATTACAAAGGATAATGAGCATATCCATCTAATATGGCAAAGACACTGCAAAAACTGATTTGTTATTTATTTTATTGTAAAAATAAGATACATTTTTCTGTGACAGATCAGAATCAAACCCAGAGAAATCATGATCAGATTTAACAATACATTTGATTTCATTCTAATTTTTCATTCATAAAACCAGAGGTGGGACTTGCAAGTCATGACTTGGACTCAAGTCAGACTTGAGTCACTATTTTTAGGACTTAAGACATGACTTGAGAAAATGGACTTAGACTTGGGACTCGACTTGGACTGGACGCTCAACGACTTTGGACTGACTCAGACTTTAGGCCTGTGGCTTGAGAAGACTCAATGCTTCTCCTAAAAAAATATCTGTTTTTAGATAATACTTTTCTCTTTACGGGTGATAAATGTGCTAAATTTTACAGGAACGAACTGGAACATGTCCCTCTTCTGTTTGGTGCTGTGGATGTAACTGAAGTAATGTGACACTCAAATGTACTACAGAAATATACAGAAAACAGATAAAACAGATCCTTCTATTTTAGAAACATGACAAAATAACTGTTATTAACCTCTTTTAAATCTGAATTCTTTCTATTCTGACCATAATAATTCACACTAAGATCTTGTCAAGACATTTACAAAAAATTTGCATCCTACAGCTCTTATATAAATACTCATATATAAATATACCATGACTTTTTAAGTACAAATTTAAAAAATCTAAGCTTTGGTTTAAAGACTTTAAATGACTTGAAGCTCAAAGCAGACAACTCGGACTTGACTTGGATTTAAGGGTCAGTGACTCGAGACTCGACTTGGACTTGCCTGTATTTGACTTGAGACTTGACTTGAACTTGAGGTCAAAGACTCGAGAGTTACTTCAAACTTGCAAAATAACGACTTGTTCCCACCTCTGCATAAAACCGCTAAAGATCCTAAGCATTGTCCAGTTTTGTTCTTATGTACGTGGTACCACTAGGTCAAGTTACAGGTCAGATCTGTGGAGAGGCGACCCCGCTCACAGTAAGAAAGCGTGTTTTTAAAAGTATTTGTTTGCAATAAAAACAGCTGTTACTATTAACTTATTGCATTTATTTATTTTATATTTTATTCAGCCTTTCGCTAAAGTAAAGTAAATGCAAGATAAGAAGTTTAATGCCGCACTGTGGAACATCTCAAACAAGGAAAATAAATCTTTGAGCAGAGATCAGACCCCTCACCAGAAGGTTTACATATGATATTTTAAATGAATAAAATAACAGTCTTTTAATTACTCTATAAATGTGTAGTTATTATCAATTTCAGTGTTGGTATTTTTTGTGTTTTTTAATTTATAAGAGCACCAACACAACCCTATAGCTTAACAATAGAATCATGACAAATTTCACTAAAACATCATTTTATTAAAGATTTTACTAAATATATCTACATTTTTGATAAACTGTATACTTTTATTTTGTGTTGGACATGAACAGCAGAAGTGATGGAGAGGTAATTCCAAAACAAAGGCCAGTCTTTGTTTAATTACACAATAGTTATGATTAGACTCATTAAAATAAGTTACCTTTATTTTGCAAATCAGCTTTTCAGAGATTTTAACCATGCTGTAGTTGTTTCCCCTCACCATTTACTCACCTGAAGTTGTATTTGGAGTGATTCATGCATGTTTGAGCAATCTTTAATCACTTATTATCAAGACGCCGTTTTGCCGATCGTCTCACCTCCACCGGGACACGCCCACTGCTCCGTACTTACTTCGTTTGTCAATTTTATCTTTTTTATCACGTAGGATTCAGCAGCGTTTGTAGTCATTTAGATACAAATTTAAAAAAAAATTAAATAAAAATCACTGCTGGCTGTTGTGATCCGCATTTATCCATTGGAGGTGCCACCTTTTTCTTGTGATGACGTTTGTGGGGACATGAAATCCAACTGTAGGGAGGCTGGCACCACCTAGTCCTCCGCTCAATTTCATTTCTCTCCAGCGACTTGGTCAGGAATTGGAATACACAAAAGAGTTTGTAAAAACCCTAGAAGTGCAAGTTCGGACACCAGCCAATCAGCGAAGAGCCAAACATTCTGTGTTGGCAACGATTCCTGGGATCGAGGATTTAAAACCGGAACCAAGAGAATGTTTGGTGAATTTCATTAAGGGAAAAGATGTTATTGTCCTTCTTCCTACGGGATTTGGGAAAAACTTAATATACCAGTTAGCCCCATTAGTGGTGCATTACATACGTCACGACCAAATAGCAGCGATTGGTTAAATGAGAAAAAGTAAATGCCTACCGTCGAGAGAACTAATTCTAACACTGCGAGGTCAGACAGTTTCTACGAAGTGAAACCGGCTGATGAATCCCATTGGGCACCACAGTGAGCTGGTTTCTTTTATTAAATACTTGTAGCTGACTGGGGAGATTTCCAGTGTCCAAATTATAATGTAATAATCCACAGGTTTCATAGATTACAACTCTACAGCAGACATAAGCACAATATTTTTTATTTAAAATAAGGTTTACAGTGTCAGAAAAAAGCCTTCTTGTGCGTAAATTGTGTCTGCATTTTTTTTAGTTGAAATTCATTGATGATATAGAAGGATTTCTGTATTTTTGTACTTTTCTTCTCAGCTTCTTTCCCCACAAACTGCCACTTAAAGGTGCACTCTGTAACTTTTCTGCTTGACTCCATGTTTTTTTTTGTTTTTTTTTAATGTTCTACAGCATGACATTTGATTTAACTATCTCCACGGAGCAGGTTACGTCACCAGGCCTAGTTACAGGTCAGATCTGTGGAGAAGTGGAGCTGCTCAAAGAAATAATGCTTGTCTTTGCAGTAGTTTGAGAAACAAAAAACACCTGTAATAGAATAATTGAATACGTACAAGCTATGTTCATTTAATGCCATACTGTGGAACATCCCAGGTAAAGCAATAATATCACCGTGGAGACAAGCAAATGGCAGACACCCCCTTGGAAAGTTATACCTTTATCTGTTGTAAAACTATGATAAATATTGACCGGTACACAGCAAAAAGTAAAGTATTAAAATTGACTCTCACAGAATCAATTTGAACATTTTCTCAGGGTTTATTTGAGTCCAGTCGGTTCTAGAGTTGATTTAACATTCTTGGAAATGTTAATTAAGTAACACTGGACCAAAGTTCCTGTTTAATCCGAAACCAAGAGTTATATTAAAGTTTTGAGAGTAAACAGATAACACTTTGTAGAGTTATCCTGATTTAGCTAAACAACGCACAGAGGTGTTTTATTTTTACAATTTATTTCAGTAAATTTAAGATGAAATGATGTACAAAACTGATTCAAACTGATCTTCTTTTGCGGGAGTTTGAAGTGGTGGGAGGGAGCCGCTAAATTAACACTAAGGGAAGTTGAATGAAAACTAGGGGAAGTTAAATTAACTTCAACTATATCAAAAAAAAGAAAAAGAAAAACACACACAAAACACAAAAGCATTTAAGGGCCTATTTACACGAGAACGCTTGTGGGTCAAAACAACAAAATATTGTATCAGAAGTGTCTTTCGTTTAGACGGTGACGCCGTTTTTGGGGCTTAAAAACACTAAAATCTGAAACCACCCTCCAGAGTGGAAAAGTTAAATATGCTCCTCTGTAGTGTTTCCGTCTACACTGCCCAAGACGCAAAACTCTGGTCAGATCGGATCACGTTGCGTACACGTTTATGTCACATACATCACCACCTAGCGTCACCTGGCATGCATACTCAGTTGAATTCCACACACTTTTGCGTCACTGTATGCACACAGATTTCCTCCCGAAAACACTCGTCTAAACATGGAATAAAAAATGAAAACGCGACGCCTCTTTTGCATCTTCTTTGTGTTAGGAACTGAAATATTTCACCGTGAAGTTTTAACCCTCCAGTTTTTGCCGTGTACTATCCTACCAAACCAAGTCAGAATTAGAATTGGAATGTTTCACAGTACGGTATTAAACCTTTCTGTCTTCATGGAGACCAAAACAGACCAAGTTACAGGTCAGATCTGTGGAGAGGCGACCCCGGTCACAATCTATATGATGTTTTTCTAGGTATTTTGGAGCTATAAAACCACCTGTAATTGAATAAATGTGAGGTAGAGCTGTTTAATGTCACACTGCGGAACATTCCAGACAAAGCAATAGTATACCAATAGAAACAAGCAGGTGACGGGCCCTCCACCAGAAAAGTTACACACTGCACCTTTAACCCCTCCAGTATCGTCACTCAACTCATCTCAAAACGCGTAAGTCATATCCTGCGCTTCCTTTTAAGGAGAGACACGTTTTTAAAATCACTTCAGACTCGGTGACGCAGATGGAACGTGGATTCCGTGACGCCATTTTGAGGACTGGAGGTGTAAAGGGGGCGGAGCTATGACCTCAAACCCCGCCTTTAAAAAGAAGGAAGGCTGCTCCTCTCTCCTCACAAACGCTGCAGCCTCAGACCGGAGAGGAGCTGTGATTTTGGACTAACAAAATCTGAACAAAACACAACATTTCACTGTCTGGACCCGAGCCGACGGCAAAGATCGACAAGTGGAATTTTAGATTCGAGATCGCTTTAATTTAAAGTCTTTTTGTGAATTTTTGGAGTGAATTTGAAGATGCAGGTGCAGTTGGCGTGTGTGCTGCTCTTGTGCGTCACTTGTGGAGGGATCTGTTCAGGTGAGACGAAATTACAGGTTTGAAAAAAGATGAAAAAACATGGAAAATTATCAATAATTTTAGGTAAAAATCGTATTGTTAAAAATTGCACTGAAACTTCTCACTTAAAGGTACACTGTGTAACTTTTCTAGTGCACTGTTGTTATGGAGAACTCTACACAATATGGCATTAGATGTATCAATTGAAAGTACCAGGTCATATCTGTGGAGAGGCGAGCCTGCTAACAGTAAGAATGAATGTTTATCGAGTTTTTTTTTTGTTTTTTGTTTTTTTTCCAATGAACACATGTATGAATAAATACTATATTAATTACATTATTTCTGGTAAAGCAATAGCATCTCCATGGCGACAAGCAGGTGACAGACACACCATCAGAAAAGTTACATAGTGCACCTTTAAGAGTAAGGGCAATAATGTAATGAAAAATAATATCTTAGCATATGTTATTTTATTTTATTTTATTTTATTTTTTTTAAATTCAGTGCCAAATTATTTTCACCAAAAAAAAATATATATATATATAAATAAATAAATAAGTAAATAAAAAGAAAAAGAAAGATTAATTTTGGCTCTGAGATTACAGATTTAATTAAATAAATTGAACTATTGTGATTAATTGACTTGTTTTCTTGTGCAATGGGATGAAAAAATTTGAAAATTGCACTTAAAATAATGATAACGTAACTTTCAATGTATTTTCAACCTAAATAATCACAGTCAGAAATGCCCCTCAAGAAATTAGACCATTTTAAGTCCCTGTTAATAAATCAAATGAAGTCCACACTACTCAAAATTTCCACCTTTTTAACTTTTCCCATTTTCTGTTTGTGCTGACATTCGAAGAAACTGGAATTTTACTGTAATTGGTCACAAAATGTCATTATAGATCATATTAAAAATTGAAAGAGGAGCAAATTTGTGCTTAAAAATGTGCAGACAGAGGCGCGGGGGTTAGTCTATTTTTGCGTATGTATTGGTAAATATTAAAATCATTAAAAAAAAAAAAAAAAAAAAATGACATTAATTCAAAATCTTGAAATCTTGAGCAATTTCAAATAAGAATATTTTCGTATTTTGTTTGGAAAATTCTGCATGTTTGTGCTTAACTGCAATAATACAAACACTAACAGTATTTTAAAGGTAAAAAGTCTTGAATTTCAGCGTGTATTCCCAGATTTGAATAAAACAATTTACCAAATATTTAAAGATCACCTCGACTTCAAATATTAGGACTCGTTTCATTTAACGCATTTATCTGAGAACTGTTAAAAAATCTGATTCATTTTAATTACCTGATGTTGATTTTGAATATATTGAGGTAACCATGTCATTTTAATCATCACATTCATACATTTCGTCCGTATTTCCTGGCTCTCCACTCGCGCCCTGCTCCCCTCGAGTGGTCTCTTCTGATTGGTTGTTTAAATGTATGGACTCGTCTATGACCCTTGTGCGTTCACATGCATTATTCACCACTCTTCAAATACTTCTAAACACTTCTAAACATGACAGGCTCTTTTAAAAGAATCGGCTCTCGGTGACGACGTTCTTGCTGCTCTTACGGCTCCCGAGCGGCTCCTGATTATTCATTATAATTCTGACTCTGATCTTCGGGCTGTTACAAACGATCATTGTGGTCACCGATTAATGCGTCTATTATTTTTTTTCTTGAACTGATTCGTTGTTCTGATCACAAAATTGACTCTCGTGAGATTTAAGCCATGTTACCTCCTCAAAAACAAACCTGGAGTTGTGTTTTGTTTCATTCACACATGTTTGAATAATCCTTCTCCAAAGCTCAAAATGTTCTGTTCCACCTTGTGATGTCATGAAGTGGTAGTTTTCACGTTAACAGCTACTTTTTACTCTCTACTCCAACGGATTTCTGAAGTATACATGCTGCGCTGAATAACTCAAATTTGATTAAAAGCCTATTTCCTTTCTAAATTTATAACTGGATAGTGTTTTTTGTTATTTCATTTTTATTTATTTGTATTAATGGATGAATTTAAAAAGTAAATTTGTAAAGATTATAGCCAGCGTTAGTCATTTCCATCTTCAGTCGGTCGGCACGTTGATGTGAAATCATCGGCAGGACAGAGAAAAGTACAACAACAATCACACAAAAGTACACAACACCATCACACTCACTATACACACAACGCTCACTGTACACTCACTAAACACACAGTTCATTTCAGACTGTTCATTTGAAGTTCGAGGTCAAGAGTTAAACCAACAACTCCTCAATATATAAAAAAAAAAAAGTAATTTGGTTAAACATATTTGTCCATTGAGCGTCCATTGCTTTATTGACGTCTAACTGTCCCTCGGCTCTTATTTTTACATTTAACATTTCTGGCGACCGCTAAAATTAGAAGCTCTCTGGCATTTTCGTTTTAAGGTCGAAAAAGGTCGGAGGGCGCTGCAGTAAACACAGTTAATTCTGAGGTTGCAAATTGTATGATTCTAGTGAAGGTTTGTGGAGTTTCAAAACGCACTGGAGCACTTCCTGTAATACCGCATGACATCACAAGGTGGAACCCAGTGTTTTCAGTTTCACAGAAGAACTTTTAAACTCTAGGAATGTTTGTGATGAGGAAATAAGGTGATAACAGATCAGAAAAGAGAGTTTTGATGGATTGGTTGTTGTGTTTTCAGAGCTGGACTCAGACCAGAGGGCGCTCACACAGGAGATCCTCAGCAGCCTCTTCTCTGCAAAGGTAAAACACACTCCTCTTTCTCCATCCTGTCTTTCTATCTGTTTTGTTTTCATCCTCCTCTCTTTCTCTCTTTCTCTCCCTCCTCTCCTCCTCCTCCTCATCCTCTCGTCTCTCCAAATATAAACTACACAGCTCCTTCTGCTCCTCCTCGTCTTCCTCTGGCTCCTTTTCCTTCCTCTTGTTTTTATCTCTCTTACTCTCTCTCTCTCTTCTCTCTCACTCCTCTCTCTCTCTCTCTCTCTCTCTTCCTCCTTCTCTCCTCTCTATCCTTTTTCTCCCTCCTCTCTCTCTCACCCTCCCTCCTCCTCCTCCTCTCCTCTCTCCAAAGATAAACTAAACAGCTCCTTCTGCTCCTTCTCGTTTTCTTCTCACTCCCTCACCTTGTTTTTATGTCTCCTCTCTCTCTCTCTCTCTCTTTCTCCCTCCTCTCTCTTTCTTTCTACCTCCTCTCTCTCTCTCTCTCTCCTCCTTCTCTCCTCTCCAAAGATAAACTAAAGAGCTCCGTCTGCTCCTCCTTGTCTTCTGTTCGCTCCCTCTCCCTCCTCTTGTTTTTATCTCTCTCTTTCTCCCTCCTCTCTCTCTCTCCTCCTCCTTTCTCCAAAGGTAAACTACACAGCTCCCTCTGCTCCTCCTCATCCTCCTCTCGCTCCCTCTCCCTCCTCTTGTTTTTATCTCTCTTACTCTCTCTCTTTCTCCCTCCTCTCTCTCTTTCTTCTCTTTCTCCTCCTCCTCTCTCCAAAGGTAAATTACACAGCTCCGTCTGCTCTCCCTCTCCTTCCTCTTGTTTTTATGTCTCCTCGCTCTCTCTCTCTCTCTTACTCCCTCCTCTGTTTCTCTCTCTCTCTCTCTCTCTCTCTCTCTCCTCCTCCTCTTCTCTCCAAAGATAAACTAAACAGCTCCGTCTGCTCCTCCTCGCCTTCCTCTCGCTCCCTCTCCTTCCTCTTGTTTTTATCTCTCTTACTCTCTCTCTCTCTTTCTCCCTCCTCTCTCTCTTTCTTCTCCTCCTCCTCCTCCTCTCTCCAAAGGTAAACTACACAGCTCCGTCTGCTCCTCCTCGTCCTCCTCTTGTTTTTCTCTCTTTTACTTCTCTCTCCCTCTCTCACTCCTCTCCTCTCCTTCCTCTCTCTCCCTCCATCTTCTCTGCAAAGGTTAACTACACGCTTCCTTCTCTTTTTCTTTCACTTTCTCACCCCTCTCTCCCTCTTTCCCCACCTCCTTCACCTCTTGTCTCTCTCTCCCTCCTCTCCTCTTAATCTCACTATCTCCCTCCTCTTCCTCCATCCTCCTACTTCTCCTCTCTCTTTCCCTATCTCTCTCTCCCTCGTCTCTCTCTTCTCCTCTTTCTCTCCCGCTCTACTTCCTCTCTCCCTCTTCTCTGCAAAGGTAAAGTCCACAATTCCCCCTCTCCCTCTTCTTCTCTTTATCTCACTGTCTCCCTTCTTTTCCTCCCTCTCCCATCTTCACTCCTCCTCTCCTCTCTCCTCCTCTCCCTTTCACTCGTGCTGTGGAACGGTTCGTGTTGTGATAGCGCTCTGAAGGGAGAGCGACTTAGTGCAGAGAGCAAGGATGGATGGGGGGGGGGGGGGGACTCAGAGCTTCAAAAACGAAACAAACGATGAACACAATTTCCTCCAAAGCCTGAGTTTGATGGACAGATTGAAACGAAAGAAGTTCTGGACGCACTGAAGCGAGGATCTGACCTGCTCTGAGGAAGAGGGGGAGGATAGAGAGGAGAGAAGAGGAGAGAAGAGGAGAGGGAAGTGAAGGTGGAGGGGAAGAGGAGAGAAGATGAAAGAGAGGAGAGAAAGGAGGAGAAGAGAAGAGAAAGGAGGAGGACAAGAAAGAGGAGAGAATGGGAAAGACAGGTGAAGAGAGGAGAGAAGTGAAGGAGAAGAGAGAGGAGGAGGAGAAGGAGGAGGAGGAAGAGGAGAAAGATAAGGACAAGGATGGAGAAAGAAGAGGACAGAGAAACAAGAGAGGGAGAGGAGAGAGGAAAAGGATGAGGAGAGTAGATGAAAGACAGGAGAAGAGGAGAGAAAGGAAGAGGAGAGAAGGTGAAAGGAGAAGAGAGGAGAGAAAGATGAGGAGAAGGATGGAAAAAGAAGAGGAGAGAGGAACAAGGGTGATAGAGGGAGGAGGAGGAATAGGATAGGGAGAAGTTAAGGAGGAAGAGAAGAGAGGAGGAGGACAAGGAAGAGGAGAGAAGATGAAAGACAGGAGAAGACAGGATGGAAAAGCGGAGGAGAATGACAAGGAGGAAGAAGAGAAAGGATGGAAAAAGAGAAGGACTGCAGAGAGAGAGGGAGAGGGAGAAGAGAGGAGAGAAAAAAGGACAAGGAGAAGAGAGGAGGATGAGGAGAGAAAGTGAAAGACAGGAGAAGAGGAGAGAAAGTAGGAGGAGGGGAAGAGAGGAGGAGGACAAGGAAGAGGGGAGAAGGTGAAAGACAAGAGGAGAGAAGCGAAGAGAAGAGAAAGGAGGAGGAGAGAAGAGCAAGGAGGTGGAGAAGGATGAGAAGGTGAAAGACAGGAGAAGAAAGGAGGATTAGGAGAATAAGGAGGTAAGCCGGTGGTCGAGGAGAGAAATGAGGACAAAACGAGGAGAAGAAAAAAGATGAAATGAAGGAGAAGTGTAGGAGGGCAGCCATGTTTTATTCATCCCTTTCAAACCAGATGCCCCGTATTTATCGTGTCTTCAGAAGAGCTTTTGACTCGTCTCTGAACTCCAGAAACCTGAGGGGGAGGTTCAAATCTGCAACAACTCTTTTTATATTTGAATCATCTCTCTTCAAATTTCACTTCTTTTGTTTGAATCACCATGGGTACGGTATTAAACCTTTCTAAGTGTTTTTTAGTTTTTTAGAATAGTTTCCTCATCAAAAACAGACCTGGAGCTGCGTGGTCAAACTGAAAACACCTCTATTCCACCTTGTGATGTCACTACAGGAAGTGCTCCACTGTGTTTTTAAACTCTACGCACGTTCACTTGAATCATTTGGATGATTTCAGTCCCGGAATTGACAAATCTTTACTGAATGAAACGTAAAAGGAGCTGTGAACTTGAAAACTACCACTTCATGACATCACAAGGTGGAGGAGCGTTTTGAGCTTTGGAGATGTAGACAGAATCTTAAAGGAAACAAAACACAACTCCAGGTCTGTTTTTGAGGAGGTAACAACATTCTAACATGGATTAAAGCTCACAAGAGTCCATTTTGTGTAATACAGGACCTTTAAATCACCATGGACAGTGGCGGAGTTAACAATTTGGGGGCCCTAGGTGAACTTGAGTTTGGGGCCCTCACTATAATACACTATTTTTGTTTCCCATTGTTCTTGAGACACACACATCTGTATTTGAATTAGGGTGGAGTGGAAACTTGTCTTAGTTAGTTTGGTCGCCTACTAGATAACCAGAGCTGAGAGTAGTTTTATTTTTTTGCTTGTACAATTACATTTTAGTTTACATCCATTATATATGATTAGGCTATGATCCTGTTCAAATCAGGGTCAAGCGGACTAGTCCATTCTAACGTGAAAGGGGGGAACGTTTTGACAGTAAAAATAGATTTGACAGTCAGATACTATTTTGATGGTGTTTTCTTGTTTCTCATTTAATGCCATATTGAGAGAAAATCTAATTGCTCAGCCGTTAGTGACACTGTGGGCAGTTGCTTGAGGGCCCCTCCAGGTTCAGGGTCTACTGTTGCCTAATGGTAGCGCCGCCTCTGACCGTGGATGCTGCATTAAAGCGACGCCATCTAACTTTTGTTGCGGGGATATTGGCATCTGCTTGTCTCCTAGGCTACTTTCAGACTGCAGCCTGAAGTGACCCAAATCTGATTTTTTGGCCCCTGCGACCTGTATCTGATCTTTTAATGACACCGATCAGATTTTTTCAAATGCAACCCAAACTACTTGGATATGTGCTCCTAAAACTGATACATTTCTGATCTTTTGACATGCGACTTCAGTCTGAACGGCCAGGCCACATTCATCCCACCTACACGTCAGGCTCAGAGTCTAATCAATGGAGGAAAAGCGAGGTTAGTGAGTTTTTTCATATTTGGGGGTCGCTAGCCAGGCTGGCGCCACCTAGTGCCTCCACTCAATTTAATTTCTCTCCAGCAACTAGGTCAGGAATCAGAATACACTAGACGGTTCGCAAAAACCCCGAATGTGCAAGTTCGGACACCAGCCAATCAGTGAAGAGAAATATATTTAGTGTTGTCAACAAATCCCGAGATCGAGGATTAAAAACCAGAGTAAAGAGAATGTTTGGTGAATTTCATCAAGGGGAAAGATGTTATTGCCCTTCTTCCTATGGGATTTGGGAAAAGCTTAATATAGCAGTTAACCCTGTTAGCAGCGCATTACATACTTCACAACCAAACAGCAGCGATTGGTTAAATGATAAAAAGTACCCACCTACTGTCAAGCGAATGAATTCTAGCGTTGCAAGGGCAGACGGTTTTTACAAAGTGAAACCCGCTGATGAATCAGGCTAGGGGATCATTGTATTCAGGCCAGATTGGAGGGGCCTTATCGGAACCAGGTGTTTTTGAAATGACTGCCAAAGAAATGTCCGAGCACGGTTACAGGCGGACCTGGCTCCAACTTCGTATTGTCAACGAAAAATAAAGAGCCTGCGAGCCAAATACAAGGAGGCTAAAGACTCAAACAAACGAAGCGGCCGTGGACGTGTAACCTGTCCATTTTATGAAGAACTGGACTGTATTTGAGCCCAGCATTTAGACTACTTCTGTGACGTTGTCGTGTCCTGCAATGCGCATGCGGGACACTTTTGGGGCATTTAAAGTTCACACTGGAGATCACATACAAGTCACATTTAATTGGAAATGTGAACGACCTCGTAAAAAAAATCTGATTTCACAAAAAATTCCGAACTGAGCATTAAGCCCTGCAGTCTGAACATAACCTTAGGACTTGGACTTAGACCAAATTTATTGATCCACAAGGAAATTATTTGGACACAGTAGCTC